CTCAGATTTCATCTGAACTTATTTTTGATCTTAGTTTGCTTTCTGAAAATGAACGAAGGTGAATTGGGATGACATGATAATTAATAACATAATTTTCAAATTTGGGTGAACTAACCTTTTAATGCAGCCTAAGAATCATTTATTTGATTTGGATTTTAAAATTGTGTTGTTTTGTGTGTGTGTGTGTGTGTGTGTGTGTATGTGTATGTGTGTGTGTATGTGTGTGTGTGTGTGTGTGTGTGTGTGTGTGTGTGTGTGTGTGTGTGTGTGTGTGTGTGTGTGTGTGTGTGTGTGTGTGTGTGTATTAGTGCAAAGAGACTTATCTATCATCTATATTTAAACTGATGAAGCGTGTTTGCCTCTCAAACTGTGCTTGTTAGACCTGCAGGGCAACTGCCTTATAACATTAAAATAATTTAGTCTTGAGGAAATAAAGGGAATGAGCTGTTTCACTTTAGCCGTTAAAGCAGTGTTTTTGAGATGTAGCATTCATCAATAGACTGGGACATACTCAGGTAAATGTTTGATAAATAAACAATGCCTGAAAAAAAAATTGAACAGTATAAGAGTTTTGACTCCATTTCCTACTCTGTTTACTAAGAGATTATTTCATTTTTCGTAGGCTCTGGTCATGCAAACACAATTAAAGGCTTTCTCTCCTTAATGGCACCATCTCTTCCCTTTTCAATTTCTCTAATATCTTTATGCTTCCCATCAACAAGGATCATCACATTTACTGTGCAAAGATAAGAACTAGTTTTACTGGAAGCCTCATCTCAATGCCAAAGAATGGTCCCCGTCATTATACATCTTCTAGTGTTACAAACAGAACTGTCACCACCTTAGTGCAAAACAAGCAGCTTTAAATTTACAACACATTTATTAGTTTAGAGGTTTTTTTCCAAAGTGACTGACAAATCAAATATGTATTTATTTGAATGGATCCAAAATTCAGTAAAACATTATATGTCAAACAATGTGTTAAAACAAAATTTTCTTCTATATCTCTCACTCCCTGGCTGAATTTGAAGTGTGATCGCTGCACCAGAGCTTGTGCTACTGTAGTTTGATTGTAGTAGTGTTCTGTAGATTCTCCTTAAAGGCATAGTTTAACCAGAAATGAAACTCTTCTACTTTCAGAAATGAAAATTGTTCTACTGAACACAAAGGTGAATATTTGGAAGAATGTCACTAATTAAATAGATTGTTCTATCGATATACTGCTGTATAGGAAAAAATAATACTAATATATTATTTAATAATTATAAAAAAATACTGGCTGGCTGGCAGTGGGCCAAATCATCCCAGCTAGCACCATGATGATTCCCTGTGGAGTAATTTGGCCTGCTGCTAATCATTGTTCAAAAATAATAATTACACTACCTAACATAAGTCTTGTCGTTGATCCCAGTTGTAAGAGCTACAGATAATAACTTGACTTCTAGTTGATCCTTTGGAAAAGTGGCAGACGGTAGATTTTTTCTGATGAATCATGTTGAATTGCATCCCAATCATCACAAATACTGCAGAAGACCAACTCGAACCCACAAAGTAGATTTATAAAGTACATTGTATGGTTCACTGATGTTTGTTGTGCTTGGAGCACCTGTCTGCATGTTTCATGAACATTTGGAGACAAAAAGGTCAATATTTTCAGATCTATGAGATGTCCTTATCATTATGGCCACCACTGTAGCTATTGTCCCCTATTAAAACCTATACATATAGCAGACTTCTGCATACTGTTCAAACTATTTAGTTAAAATGAGCCAAAACAACACAAATCTAGACAACGTAATAGATTTATGTTCAATGCTCTTAAATTTGTCAAAAAAAAGTTTACCTTTATTAATTTGAGTTCGGATATCATAAAGCAGATTTTGTTTTGGAGCCGCAGCATTTTATTTTATTTTTTTACAATTGAAGTGATCGTAAGTCGTGGAAAATTAGTTGAACTGAATCAAAGTAGTCAAATGTTTTCATATTATATAAATGTCCCCTATGTTGGTTGAATGTTCCAATAATTTTGGCATAATTGAGCCTTGTAGAAAGTATTAGTGGCCTAGTGAAAAATAACTCTTGTATATTTTTATGATAGTTTTAGGGGTAACAAATGCAATATGAAAGTAACAGTTTGAGTCTTGCTTTGAAATGAACTTGTAATCATTATGATACCTTTTCATTTACCTCTATAGTTTTTCTGCTATTATCCAAAAAGTTTGTTCCAATTCTCCCCTTATATATATATATACACATACAATTTGTTCAAAATTAATAAATAGAATTATTAATAAGAAGATGAATTCAGGTAAAATAAGACACTTTTTTCTAAATAAAAGACTGCATGAGAAAATATTCCAAATTCATTTTAGGAAGTAAAAACCATAACATGGAACGTCTTATTATTTTTAACAAATCCGTTTGTATCTCCTTGAAATTGTCCTCTCTACATATTGACTAATGACATAATCAACATGGATTGATTGTACATTCCAGCATAGATTAGAGGCTCTCCTCATTTCACACGCACTCACTCATTTGTCTTTATTATCTTTTAAAGTGCTAACAATACTGGTGATCTACAGTTCTAGAACTCTTTACCCTCTTGTATAATCTGAACACCAGTCCAGTTCAGTTCTTTATCACACTGTAAATGACACAAATGGAAGCTTTTGATAATGTTTCAATAAAATGTGTCTGTGTGGAACATTTAGGAAATGAATGATTAGACCTACTGGACATATTCTCATTACATTTTGTTCTGATCACCAATGCTCTATACGAGATACAATTTACATACACTGAACTATCTTAATTGCTTTATAAAGCCTAAATTATACACATTAGTGTTAAGTGTTAGTTATCAACCAGTAATTATTCAAGCAGCAGAACGTTATACTGACATTTTGCTCTGGCTTTGCTAGTTGACACCAAGTCTCGGCATGGCTAAGCTTTATCTGTTGGGATTTGGAGTGCTCACAGTCTTTCCTTTTATCGCTGCTGGTTAAACAAAAGGCCTATGTTGCCATCCTGTCCTTGGCAATCCACACATTTTCCAAATTGATAAGAAGGAAGGGAGTGTCTGTAGCTACTTGACACAAATTGAAGGAGTTGGAGCACTAAATGTCAAGACATTCTTCTTTAAAACCATATCAAACAGACCGTTTCCATCACATACATCAGTGATTGCCACCCTTATTGTGAAGGTTTGATTGAGTTTTAGAATGAATCAGAGATATAAAGCATTGGCTACTTTTCAATTTCTCTTCTCAGCAGTTGTCGTTTTTTTTCTATTTGTTAATGGGGTTTAGTTATACTTTATTATACCATCTGCAAACATATGCCTGTAAAGTTGGACATTTCCAGATATACTTTATAGTTCATAGCAGGAGCTCTTTTATAGCCTCATAAAATGCATGTCATACTCGAAGGCTTGAGTTCATTTTATGGAAAAGAATTTGTAAAATGTTTTACAGTATAAGGTGTGTTAATTGGCCACTTGTGCGTCAGCGTATGACCGATATGACAATTTATGTTGAAAGATGATGGTGTTATTAGCAACATCTTTCAATATATATTGTAATATTGACAAATATTGTCAGAAAAGCATTTTGCTTTTATTTCTTGCTAAAATGATTGGATAAATTATTGAATTAAGTGTTTCTATGGAAAATGATAATAAAATAATGAATTCATTCAAATACTCGTTCATTGCTGTCTAAATTGGCACAACGTTTGCTGTTTTTGTACCACAGCTAGTAAAACCTCAAACTTTATGAATTGCTACAGTTCAAACTAAAAACAAGATCTATATACAGATTTTAAATAATTAAATAAAGATAAATGTATTTAAAAATCTGTGAAAAAGTTTTTATTCATAAAATAAATGTTTTTTTGTTTGTTTGTTTTTTCCCGATGTTTTATCAAGTTTAGTTTCCTTACAAAATTAAGATTTTAGATGCAAAAACATCTAAATGCCATCTGAAATTATCCTTTAAATTTTGTCTTTTAATTATTTATTATTTATTATTTTTATCAGGCTCTGTGTATGTTATATATTTATCAGGCTGTGCATGTTTGTATTTTTTTATCAGGCGTGTATATTCAATAATATCACTTTTATGGCAAAGAATTTTCCTGGTCTTTAAAGTGAAACATCTCAACAGGCTGAGAAAATGTTCATTTTGATGGAAGTTTCAGACACCACATAGAGGTTTTTGCAGCTGAAATCTACAAATTTATTTTCAAAATAATCACATACTCACATACACACACTGAGGAAGTCTTGGATTTTTTAGATTTAACTCTTAACATAGCAAATAAACTCCAAATAGATGCATATAAAAAAATAAATAAATGGAGACTCAAAGCTGTCCACATCAAATCTAACTTGGCACATTTAAAAATAGGAAGTTAACCATTAATCTAGTAATGGACATCTTGTTCAATGATATTCTGGCATGAGAGCCAAGACGGTGAACCAAATATGCCACAGAAAGTCAAATTATTTAGTAAATGAATAACATGCTGTTTTTGTGGATGATGTTAACAACAACAACAACAACAATAATAATAATAATAATAATAATAATAATAATAATAATAATGCATTTATATTTTGGCAACTATTATTATTATTATTGTTATTGTTGTTGTTGTTGTTGCTGTTATATTATTATTTTTATTATTATTATTATTATTAATAATAATAATAATAATAATAATAATAATAATAATAATAATAATAATAAAAAAACTCGATATATCAAAAAATGATGGAATAGAGTTGTTTTAGATATAGTATAAAAAATGAATAGGATGGTACTAATTTCCATGATGGAATGGAAGACTTTATATATTAATAGCTTAGCCTACTTAGTAGCCTATATGTTGAAAATAACCTTAGCTAAATTTTAGTTTAGGCTACACGTTAAACTACTGCTAACAAAACCCTTGTGTTAGTGTTTGGTGATATTATTAACACTGGTTACCTGCACGCGTGTCTCAATGTTGGGTGTGTGTGGGGATAAAGTGAATGTCACACTGATTTCAAAAGTCTTTCGCAATCTGTGGGCTCAGAATCCTCCCACTGCGGGCGTATTTAACCCGCTGGACGCTTTCAAACCACCTGTAGCGGATCTGTGTCCTCCAACGGATATAAACCTCCGAAAGCCACCAAGACACCGGGCACGAAGCCCCTGTGACGGGAGACATCTTCTGTTTTCATTGTTTTTTTCTTATATCATTATATTTTTTGTATTTGTATGAATGTTAATTAAGAAGAGAACTATGTTACTGACGCACCGACTCTTCTTCCTATTGATATTAATCTCGACTTCAGGTAAGCCTGCGATCTCTTTGTGTTAGCTAATGGGTTTATTTGAGATATTCAACAAGCTGCCCGTATTTGAAATGAAGTTATGTACACAGATATTATTATGTTAAGTAAAACCCGCTTGTGGTGATTTGACTTTCGCCGAGTTGAGTTAAGGACCATGGACAGTCTCGAGCGATTTCTTTTTAGTTTAATATCAACGTTGACCTGATATTTATTAGTTTTTGTTAGTGGCAATACTTTAGCGTGGCAACACCAAACAAAACGTGAGACACATTTTAATAGTCTGAAGGAAGAATTAACCGAAGGAAGAGTTTAAACATGAAAGCCATTATTGTTTTAAACGAAATAAATGATGAAATAACTGTTACTATACCTGAGTTGACTTGATAGACAGCAGTATTTTTTGGGGAAAGTGTTCAGCCTTGTCCTTTGCTAACTGGTTTTGTGGTCAACATGTAAAAACGCCAGCATTTACGTTTAAACTATGAACGTGTATTACCATGCCTTGATTTTATGTGAACATTTATATGGCTAGGGTAAATATTCACATGTAAATCATGCAGTAGCCTATAATACAGATACAGCCACCACATTTAGTAGAACTGCAGATCTAAGATAGCATAATATAAAGATTAAATGTTAACATTTACTTTAGCTAATGCACTGAACCGACAGCAACATTATTTAACCACAAGATTATAAGAAGATTAATAAATGCAGAAAAGTGCTATTTTTATTGTTAGTTCAATGCCTAACAAATATTGACAAACAAGAGCTCATTGGGATTTTTCCCTTTTATTTAAAGTCTCTTCGTCACATAAATGATCACATGGAAATATTGTGGTCAGTGGCAAAAAATAGATTAATCTTATAACAAACTGAAGGACAAATTGAGCAGTTATTGTACCCAAACCTCTTTAAAGATAACAATTCAAAGAGAATATAACAAATATTTTCATTGTTATATTGGGAATTACATTATATATGAGTTCCTTTTATTTTCTAGTGCACAGTGTGTGTGTGTGTGTGTGTGTGTATGTGTGTGCATGTTTTTAGGTTTAGTTTGGTCACTGTGTGGTGTGATGATTAGTGTGTGGTGAGTCACAGTATCACACACAGTCAGGCATGACTTTGAGACTCTCCACTGCGCATTCATGCACACACACTTGTGTGTTAGCAAGCACTCTCGGAACTAGCTACATCATATCCTTTAATTTAGCAAAACTACCATAGAAGCAGGTTATTAAATGTGTTTTATTTGTAATATAATTGTGGTTTATTTGTGACGATGCTTCCTTGGTCAATTCAATATTATTTCTTAAATTTTACTAACATTTTGATGTCAAACAGGAGTCCTAGTTAAACGTAAAACCCTAAAATGTATATACAGCAGCACATGTACCTTTGCCTCAGGGCTTGCTTGTGTTCCTAATGATATAAGTCCTGCTGTGTGTTTGTGTAAAAAGAGAGAAGTGTGTGTGTGTGTGTGTGTGTGTGTGTGTGTGTGTGTGTGTGTGTGTGTGTGTGTGTGTGTGTGTGTGTGTGTGTGTGAAGTGTGTGTGAAGTGTCTTCAGTAGAGGAATAGCCTGTGGCTATGTCCTGTCTTTCAGTCTGGCACCAAGTCCAGCTGTGTCCCACTAGTGGAGTCGTCAAAGACAGAGAGCTAGTGAAAGAGAGATTGACAGGTTAGCAGCTTGATGGCAAATGTCATGTGTGAGGGGAAATAACAAACATGTGTGAGAAAGATCTCTGAATTATTATCTGCAGTAGCCAATAATAATCATGTTTACGATGTAATGGATAAAGATTCTCTGAGGTTTTGCATATTCATAAAACAGCAGGTGAGATGTACCCAGATGACCTACTACTTCCATTGTAGGGTTCCAGGGAAAACTTTATTATATCCCATGAAGCCACAGAAAAGGGTTTGCAAATGACATTGAAGCAATGTAACTGTTGCTGTGGGTCACATAATGTGACAACACAAATGCAATTTGTAAGTTTATAGTCGCACATTAAGTTGTAAACCAAATGAAGTCATTGAATTAAATCCTCAAAGCAACACTATGCAACTTTCTCTCATAGTTCCCTTGTAGTTGCTAAGTGCAATTGCGTGTTACCAGCAAGGTAGATCTGACTGTTCCGCTCATAGTCAGTTCTGTATATATCCATGGTTCTGATGGCTGAGGTTGTGTTTACTGGGCTGTAAGCATGATTTCAGATGACATGAGGCAGATCTGGTAGACGCAGCAGCAGAATTCATCTAGTTAAAAGTTATTCAACCACTGACTACACTTTTTAGGGACATTGTTTTAAAGGCCCTGTATGTAATTCTTTTCTTGACTGTTCTAAAACATAAAAATACCAGGGGCCTTATGTACGTAGGCTTGTGTTGAAATCATACTAAAACATTGCGTGCACACAAAGCTGTAAATGTGCGTACGCAGTAAAAAATTCAGATGTATGAAACACTGCGTATGCCGAATCCCACGCATATTCTCTTCGTACATGCGAATAAACGTGAAACTGAGCGCAACATGCATGAGCACAAAACCCCTCCCTTATAAATATGCTAATGACTCTACTTTGGCTAAACTTAACGAAAAAGCAATGGCAAAAAGCAAGCAAAAAAAGAAACTTTGAACAGAATGTGATTTGGAGGTGCTGCTTTCGGATAGACCGGAGAAAAACGGTGTTATTTGCAAGTTTGTCCTCCGGAATTAATAACAGAAGAAAAAAAAATAGAATGGGAGAGTTTAGCTGATGCAGTTAACACAGTTGGGTCTGAACATCACACTGAGTGGATTAAAAAAGAAATAGTGCGATGTATAGGTGTAAAATTTTATAGTGTCTTTAACAGCGTGAGTGGCGTAGCTCGTAAAGCACATGGTAACATGTTTTGACATGTTCGAGCATGAATTCGATTCGAATCCAGCGTCTGATGAACTTATTCTTTTTTTTCCCGCTACATATCAGATTTTGCCTACTCTTCATCACGAGGAAGACAAGTCGGAATCATTAATAAGTGTGTGCATCATATTTTATTTGCACATTTATTGAATGGAAATTTTTCTGATTCATGTATGCATATTCATCTTCATATAGCGCCTTTATAGCAATGTACGTGCAGTAGATCGCTCCGATTACATTAGGAAAACAGGCGATCGCTGCAAGTTGCGCTTTAATGTTTGGCCTGGCTGGAAAAGGTGTGCCAGAGCACGGTTTAGTTGGGCTTTTGTGCAGTATCTTTGTAGTGTGAGTGCAAAAGACAACGTAACTTTTAAGGGACTGTTAAATGGATTTATTAATCATTCTTATTTTTCAATGAACATGAACTGTCATACCCCTCACTACACGTCAGCTGCTACCTTCAGTATACTTCCTAATACCTGCCAGCACAAGGACTTTTTTATGATAATTTATGAACATCAAAAGTCATGGATCTGTTTAGAAAAATCTTTGTGTCTGTGTGTCACTGCATCCATTCCAAAATACAAAACAATATAACTAAAGCAACGAACATTGTGCTGAGCAAAATCGCTTCTTGATGACGTACGTGTGCTCGGGCTCAGAATGTAAAGATGCAGTGTGAGTGCAGGCCATCCGGGGGAGAGTGGTGAGGGGACAACTGCGCTTTGGCAAAGTTCAAGGCAACCGTGCCTAGTCAGAGTACACCCTCAGCCTCCCAGGTTGCCTTGGTGGAAAACACAGGGGCGCTCACTCCTGTTGGCGTCATCAGTCTGGCAGCCTGCATTTGTGCAGAGCATCATTTGAGGAGTCGGGTAGAAAAAAGAAAGTGTCTCCAATATTTTAAATTTGAACTGCCATACCTAGTTCAACAACTATGTGGGCTTGTATGCTTACATACTGCTATTTTAAGGGCAGAAAACTTTTATAGTGTTTTTTTAAGTAAAACAATAAATTGTGCCCCATATGATGCACTAAACACTTTTAATCTTGCAATTATTTTATCATTAAAGTTGTGAAATACAACATTATATATATTATTATGATATTTATATGAAATAGCATGTCAAAAAAAAAGAATTTTTCAAATCTCTGTATACCATGATATATAAGTGGGCATGATCAACTAACATGCAGTGTGAGCCAGATGCTACATGTGAGACTTATCAAAGAAACCTTTAGATACAAACCTGTAAAATGTGATTAAACCACTAGAATATGTGTCAAAATGTTTAGCGCTTGACTAAGTATCTGAGAATTTTGCTCTTGTTGCCTTCACAGCACAGTGAGTGCTTATATTAATCATATTTGATAGCAAAAACTATAGTAAACATATATTCAGCAATAAGAGTTGTCCCCCCTCATAAACTTCTAATTACTGCTTATTGATTGTGACATAGTTGTTTTAAAGTTGGTTTAGGGGATCTAGAATATGGTTTTGTATTAATATGTGTTTTATAAGGACCAAAAACACCAAACTTACTATTATAATGCATGTTTATAAGCAACCAGTTCATCTAATCAAAAGTTTTTCTGCATACAGATAGACAGACGGACACACAGATTTAGACATGCTAGTAAATCATGTGAGCTCTTTTTCTCTGGGTCTGGGAGGATTGTGGAATAAGGTCTTTGTTTCGGAGAGTTCACTAATCCAGGCAAAGTGCTGTAATGCTAATCTGGGCGTCTGAGGGATAAAGAAGCTCTCTAACACAGCCAGTATAGTTAATTAATGCTGTCTGCTTTATAAATTAACTATAAACTTCAAACAAATCCACACAGAGTTAATTACAGACTTCTCACTGTACATAAAAATGCATCGTCACTTTTGATGTTTCTTGTTTTTTTTAGGATTCAACATGAATTATTTTTTCATGCTGGCTCTTCTCTTCTCTTCTCTTCTCTTCTCTTCTCTTCTCTTCTCTTCTCTTCTCTTCTCTTCTCTTCTCTTCTCTTCTCTTCTCTTCTCTCTAGGTTTATTGGGATTACAGGTTGTAAATCTGCTTCTAATTGGACAGCATAGGCCGACTGTGCTT